TTCGCAAAGTTAACGCATCGGCTGCGCATCTGGGGCAGTTAACGCATCGGCTGCGCATCTGGGGCAGTTAACGCATCGGCTGAGCAAGGCGTATATATACGCCCGCGGCAGTTAAGGGGTTAATCCTAGTATACGGTACCATGAAGGTTAGAATCAAAAATATGTATTGTAAAGAAAGAAAACCTCTGCAACAGACGTGGCTCCGTTCCATCATAGAGAGAAACAACTGTACGTGCGCGATATATATGTCGCCAAAGCTCGAAACCGGTGTCGAAGTTCGAAGGTCACGTTATCAAGAATTCATAAAATGAATATCGTTTAAAATTTCTTTAAACTCTAATCTAAAGGAAAAGAAAATATCTTTTGGCGCAAGTAAATTAATTCATGGATTAGTTATTTTGAGGGGGGAAAAAAAACTACGAAAATCCGTTTTTAAAATTATTGCGAAAAATCCAAGAAAAAACGTTCTTTGATAAAACGTTTCTTCTAGGATTTTTCGCAATAATTTAAAAATGGATTTTCGTAGTTTTCTTTTTTGTCAAAGAACGTTTCTTCTTAACACGTGTTTCTCAATTTCCTGTACACATCGCGGAGAGGGAAATTCTGGCCTCCAGGTTCCGTCGCCAAATCCCTTGGCAAATTTTCCCTCCACTTTCTAGCCGCGTAATAGCATTTACGTGTATGGAACCTTTTCTTCTTTACATAGACGTTCTTTGGTTAGAATAATCTCTATGTATGGTACAGCGGGATTTGGTGACATGATGATGAGCAGTAAACGAGTCATTTTGTTCTTGGCGACAATTTTCAAAATCGTGCGAAGGCCGTACCGTATACTAGGATTTTACCGCAAAATCTTTTTTTTTCTTTTCTTTTTTATAAATACCTTGTCATTTTGCAGTCAAATAAAAAAATAGTAATCAGTCATCTAGCCTAACCATGTAATACAGTCAAAAGTCGTTAATCCGGACTCGTCGGGACTTCGGCGATTCCGGATTATCGATTTTTCCGGATTATAGATCATCAGTTTAAATCTCGTAAGATGGCATGCAGAAATTCTAAAATTAAAAATATGAAACCGTAATTTATGAAATAAAGAACAATTATGATCTAAAGGGTATCAAAATTTACAAAAAAAAAAAAAAAAAAAAGCTTAATATTTATTTGTTTACTTTATTAAACATTTCTCTCAATGTAAGTTGTTTAAGTTGCTTCATTTTATGTGATAATACTTTCTCTTTAATTCTATAAAAAGACATAATTTCTTGTTCAGTTACAAAGTTCCGCTGTTCAAGTCTCGTTAATTGCTGTGCCGAGAATACCGACTAACTTGTCAATCGAAATTTTTTCGTTTTCACTAACCTCTCTGTCACATTCTTCATGTCTTTATCCATTTTTGCAGTAATTCCACTTTTGTTTGTTGGACATCGAAACATACTTTCGTTTTGTAGATCCTTTGGAAGTTCCAGCATCGGAAATTCTATTTGACATAATCGAAAGTTCAAGTTTACTTTTATAAAATTGCTCTTACAGTCTGCAAAAAATAATAAGCGGGATAAAATTCGAAGATTAAGGAACAACGCAATCATTAACATTAACTGAAATAGATAATTAGATAATTTTAGCTTACACCGTCCGTTATACATTAAACGCGCAGGCGAAAACGTATTCTGCACTTGCGCACACGCATATGCGCAATAGTCAAGGTCTTATGCTCACACGTAAAACGCCTGTGCGCATGTGCCAACGCGGCGCATGCGCAGAAAGTTTTTAGCTTTGATGTCCGGATTATAGATCATTCCGGATTATGGGTGTCCGAATTAACGACTTTTGACTGTATAACTATATTCGCTAAAATATCGTTGATTATTCTAATTCAATTTTTAAGCAATTATCTTTATTTTTATGTTATTCATATCATTTAATGTTGCTTCTTCCCTCTAAATTTATTTATCATTAGTAAATAATATTTCCAAATTTCAAGAAATTTTCTCTCGGCATAATCCTGAAATTAATTCTAGCAGTATGATGACATCACGAAATTTAATGCACATATTTTTTCCTAATGTATGCTGCGAAATAAATATAAAATACCTCAATTTAGTAAAAAAATATCATTAAATAGATTTCTTTCTTTCATTTAGCTGCAGAATGTCTGCAAAAAAAGCCTTATTTTATTCCAGATTGGGAAGATTCTAATCTCAATCTTCAGTGGAGAAAACAACTCCTATTATAATTATATTTGTGTTTTCAAGTGTTAAGGTGCCTTTTAAGAAGACACCTCACACAAATTAAATTTACCTAAAATCTAACCTAACTTTTAGCATTGCATTGTGATTTATAAGAACCGGATTAGCCTCATGTTGAACTGGTGATGATCATGAGTAATAATTAAATAAAAACGTACAATTGTTATCCAATGTATATATCTTAAATTTTATTAAGTTTCTTAAGTGGAAAAGTAAACAAAATTATCAAAAAAAGTGTACCAAGAATAATTAAGAATAAATGTCCTCTGAGATTTATTGAATAATTAAGTGAATTTGCTACACAGTACAAGTAATACCATAATTAATTTACCTCTTAGCACAGCCAACGTACATTACGCGGATAGACTGGAATTTTCTCGAAACATACCTGGAAAAGTCAGGGAATTCCATTATCCTGTTTGAGTGGCAACCCTGATAAAATTGCGAGCAAAGTAGTCATCATGACAATGCACTAAACCATGTATCATTGCATGTGATGAAATTTTTGGGTTAAAAAATATCACTGTGTTTCCCTCTCTGCCATGCAACTTTGACATTTGACTCTCATGTGATTTCACCTTTTCTTCAAGCTCAAAACCCATATTGAAGGTAAGCATTTGGGGGCAATTGATAAAAGTCTGAGCAACTGCAAAAAAGAATTTTGAGCTCTATCTGAAGTGAAGCCTTCTTCCATTGCCTATAAAATCTGGCAACAAAGCTGAAATTGCTGTATGCTGTTACAGCTGTGTAATAGTCTATATATTCAGTTTTTAAAAAAAGTTAATTATTCTTATTGCTTTTGAGGACAAATGATATATTGAGTGTTATTGAAGTTAATTCATACTGCATAGTGCTTTTCATATTCAGGTCAGAGGCATTTAAAATGTATCTCTCTTTTTATGTAATGTTATTGTTTTAAAAAGCATTCCCTCTTTGATTAGTTATTAATAACCCAAAGGTTGATTGCCTGCAATAGAGTGCTGAAGACTTTCTAATAATCTTTTGATTTGTGTTTTGTTTGATGTTATGCAAATTGTATTTCTGTCTTTGTATTGAGGAGCGGCGCAGACGCAAATTTGTTATGGTTTTTAAGCTTCAAGGTTGCTGGGAATTACTGGAGTTCAAACTTTGCAGAACTTTTTCGAGATGTGCTTCTGAAGCCAGAGGTTTCCCCGTTTTCTTTGCCGTTCCTCAGCCAACTTAATGTTTGAAGGCCAATAAATAGATTTGGTCAACATTATGTCTCTGAAGTTTCTTGAGTTCTACACTGAGATATTCACAAGTCATGTTACAGTCCAGTACTAAACAACAGAACATACATGTTTGTTACAGCTTGTTTTGTGCTCATATTGATGTTTGCCATAGTATGAAAATATTCACACTTAATTATCTAAAGAACACATTGAGTGAACCCAAGAGATTTAGCATAGCATGGAAGTGAGATAAACTTTATGCTATGATTCATTCAAGCTTTAATAAGTTATGTATAGCTAGGAAAATCTCAACTTCCAGCTCGAATTAAACTTGAATAATTTGAAGATTAAATCTACAATAATTCTAAATTAAAGTTTAGTGATATTTATACAGTCAAAAGTCGTTAATTCGGACACCCATAAACCGGAATGATCTATAATCCGGACCTCAAAGCTAAAAACTTTCTGCGCGTGCGCCGCGTTGACACATGCGCATAGGCGTTTACGCGTGCGCGTAAGACCTCTTACGACTGCGCATTTGCGTGTGCTCAAGCGCAGAATACGTTTTCGCGTGCGCGTTTTATGTATAACGGACAGTATAAGCTAAAATTATCTAATTATCTATTTCAGTTAATGTTGATGATTGCCTTGTTCCTTAATTTTCGAATTGGATCCGGCTTATTATTTTTTGCAGACTGTAAGAGCAATACTATAAAAGTAAACTTGAACTTTCGATTATGTCAAATAGAATTTCCGATGCTGGAACTTCCAAAGGATCTACAAAACGAAAGTATGTTTCGATGTCCATCAAACAAAAACTGGAATTGCTGCAAAAAAATGGATAAAGACATGAAGAATGTGACAGAGAGGTTAGTGAAAACGAAACAATTTCGATTGACAAGTTAGTCGGTATTCTCGGTACAGCAATTAACGGGATTTGAACAGCGGACTTTGTAACTGAACAAAAAAATTAGTCTGTTTATAGAATTAAGAGAAAAGTATTATCACATTAAACGAAGCAACTTAACAACTTACATGAAAGAAATGTTTAATAAAGTAAACAAATAAATATTAAGCTTTTTTTTTTTTTTTTTTTTTTTTTTTTTTTTGTAAATTTTGATACCCTTTAGTTCATAATTGTTCTTTATTTCATAAATTACGGTTTCATATTTTTAATTTTAGAATTCCTGCATGTCATCTTTAGAGATTTAAACTGATGATCTATAATCCGGAAAAATCGATAATCCGGAATCGCCGAAGTCCCAACGAGTCTGGGTTAACGACTTTTGACTGTAGTAAACATTTTCTATCTCTTTTAAACTTTTTTTTTATTAGTATCTAAGCTTTGCTTAGAAAAAGGGTGTGTTTTTAGAACTGCAATTCTGAGATACTATATGTGAAAGTTAGTTGTTCTGATATTTTTTCTCTGATTAAAAGTAAGCATTTTTTAGAGCCACATGATTGTGTTTATTTAAAAAGATAATTAGAAAAACAATTATTTATTTTAAACAGTTACTTATTTCAAGATACGTGATTCGTATTTTTTTTTTTTTAAATTTAGATTGCCTTTCCGAATGCTTGTTCGAAAATACGGTTGTGATGTGGCATTTACTCCAATGATTGTGAGTCATTCTTTTGTTGATTCCTTAAAAGCAAGACATACTGATTTTTCTACAAGTATAGGTGAGTTGGTTGTTTGTATAATATTATATTTGGTTGCTTGAACTTATGTTAAAAGTTAACAACTTTTTTAAAGTTTAAAAGAGAGAGAAAATGTTTACCATAAATATTGCTCAACTTTAATTTAGAATTATTGTAGATATATAGCGCATTTTTTATCTTGTGGAAGTTCATGTCCTATTTTATTTTGTAAATATGATGTAAATCATGAGTTAAAAATGCATAAAGTGTAATTCTTATGCATTCTCATGGCACAATTAGGAGGGGGGGCTTGGTGTTACAAGTAAGAGCTGAAACATTATCTTGATAGTGTGTATGATGAATTCTGCATAAGAAATAACAAAATGGAAATGTAGAAAAATATTGCATATGTTATATAAAAACAGCATACTTCATTCTTCAACTAATATATAACATCCAGGAGGTGTTTAATTATATTAGACATCCACCTTCTTGTATAGTTTGCACTTAATCATTAGTTTGTTGTTATTGCAGAAAGATAGCTTCCTTATGGGTCTATGAACAGTGTTAATTCTGAAATAATGTTAATAAAATCAGATTCTGATCTGCAACACACACGTGCAATATTTCATATAAAAGATGTCATTCCATAATACTTTAGAAAATGTCTATGATTAGTAAAAGCATGATTCAGATATTTATTAAAATTACATCTTCTGTAAGAAATTTTTATAGATGTTTGAGTCTTTCTTTACATGATTCATAATCCCATCTAACCTACCATTCTGTTACATTAACCTCATAAAGCTTCATTTTTATTATCCTAATTGGAATTTTAATAATAGATATTTGAGTCATGAATCTTGACTGCATTACCCACTTTGCAGTGATTTTATCTTATTAACTATTTTTAATTGACTTATATAAATTTGCACTTTGATAAGCTGATAATGTATCTCAAATGTTACTGAATAGCATATATGTATAGGTTTTAACTTGGATTGGGGAAAAAAAAATTGTGGTAAATCAAATCCTGAATTTCTTTGAATCCAAATCCTGAATGATTTCCAAAATTTTCAAGCTTCGGAATTCTCAAATCATTCAAAGGAGAAAAAAGGTGTAACCAGTTTTGCTTTATTAAATTTCAAAAACAAAGCAAAATTTGAAATCTGTGTTTAATGAGAAACAAATTTTAAAATACTGTTTTTAAAAATGCTTGTATATATTTGTTAAAAAGTTGCAAATGCAATTTGGTAAAATACATAAATTCCTTAATCTTGAGTATTATTTTCTCAATCTAATTTAAAGCAATTCAAAATTTAAGTGTTGTCTAAAAAGTTCAAATGGCAGGCAAATGGAGACATGTATGCAGTACAACATATATACGTGAATATGAGTTTAATAATAAGTTATCAATGTCCAGAATCAGCAAAACAATCCAAAAGACAGTTTTGAAAAGTTGTATAAAATGCAGAACTCCAGTTACTTGAAGTTCCGGCAGATTTTGCTGGATCAGTGTAGCAGTCAGGGCCCAAATTGTGTTAGTGATTCAAATGTAAATGAAATTGCGAGAATCATTTTTTAAATTAATGCTTCTAGTCATGATTAATTTAAATTAATGCTTCTAGTGTAGATTTAGTCAAAATTCAAAATGGAAGACAAAGTGAAACATAAAATTAACAAAATTTTGTTTCGCTTCTGGTGATATTAATAAAATTATTTTTTCTATCAAATATCAATTATTTTTAGTTAAAAGGTTTAACAATTCTTAGGTTAGGATTAATGGCATTGCCAGGATTAAGAAAAATAAAATGCAACTAATAATTTAATCCACATTTAACAAATTAAATTCATTTATTTATTTTGTGTTAGTTGTCAGAAAAACTAAATAATAATTTTTATACAAAAGCCTGGCAAAGTTGACAGCTTTGCTTAAAGTAACTTTTCTTCCTTGAATAGCAGTTTTTTCTGCATGGATTCTCAGTACAAATTGTCCTGTGTCATGTATTTTATTCTTTTGAGAGAATTTCAAAAGAAAAATCACTAAATCTGTTTTCAAAATCAGTGTTTTGTTCTTCACTTGAATAAAAAGCTTATTACTTTACCCTACTCATGAAGAGCAATACATATTCATTCAGTTTTTGTTTATGGTACTTTCTAATTATTCCCACTTCCTGTTTCAACTGTTGGTAGTTCTGCCATGTTTTGGCATTTTTTTTAGTATACTTGTGTCAATAAGTAACCTCCACATGGATGCTTAAGTATACATCGATTTATATGTGTTATATTTAAGGATCATTGCTCTTAAGAGTATATTCCAGCTGTAAAAATGTAAATATTCACTTAACCAGCTTTTGTTTTTTCGTAAATTTCTTGTTTCTTATAAAATCCTTTTTATTACTATTTATGAACAGAACCTGTGAGCTGTAAAGATGACCAAACAAATGTTTTTTTTCCCAGTTTACAAAGTTACCAAGAATTGCGACTTTTCGGGGGGGGAGCAGATAATCAGAAAACACCTAATATTGTTTCACTAAAAACCTGACCTGTTGATAAACCGGGGAAGGTAAAGGAAACCAGAGGACATTGCTTAGTTTGAATTTTATTTCAAGAAAAGAGTGTCCAATTACTTTATACAATAGATTCAATTTTGTTCATCATAGGAACACATTTCCTAAATATAGAGCAAGGAAAGTAGATATTTTTTATTTAAATTTATATGAAACCACATTAATTAGTTAAAAATGTAAAACTGTCATTAATTTACTGCAGACGTTTCTTACTGTTTAAAACCTGATATAAATATTGACTTGCAGCTGTTAGGAAATCCAGTTTTGCCTCTTGAAATTTCCTGAATTTTAATATGTGGCTTTTGTTGTCATGATGTTTGCCCCTCCTTATGTATGCATTGTTAATCAAGGACCCAAGTTACATACAGATGCCTTGAAGAGCTTTGTAGTACACCATTTTAAGGGAAGAAAAGACTGATTCTTCCAGAATTTGTCTGGTTTAATTAATTAGTTTATAATTATTGAAGAATATTTGTTAACAAGGTCATTTATTCTCCCCCCACACACACACACACACAGAATGGATTTTAAAAGATTTTGTTGTGAAATTAAAAAATTATTCTTGTTGCTGTTCTTGATCATTCCATTTTATATAATACCAAGCCAAATGCACAGGGAAAGAAATAAGCCAAAAGATGTAAATATGGCACCAGACATTTGTGGTATGCCTTGAATGGAAAAGTACCTTTCAAAGTTGCATATATAGCCATTCTCACGTTTCAAAGCATCTTAACTAAAATTCCGTATTTTATTATTTTTGCTGGATGGTACATTTTTATGTCTTAAACATAATGGAATCATTCCTTCATTTGTGTAATTTTTATAAAGATTAAAATGCACGTATTTGTAGTATTTATGAAGATAAAATTTGCAAATGAGAGGATTCAAAACAGGTCTGATTTTATAAAAGCTGTTTATGTTATATGCTACTTGTAAATTTTTGCTGAGGTAAAAAATTTAAGTACTTGCTTAAATCTCTCCCTGGTCATTTTAAGGAAAATGGGTGCTCGTGAAATATCAGTTGGCTAAATAATCTTCCCATTCTAGCTTTTTCATTTGTTCCATTAGTATAATTAAACCAAGAATCATTGTGGGCAGCATATATTTCCTAGTAATTTTTATCAGAAGTTTTATGATACTTCATGTTGTTTAATGTCAGGCTTATTGTTATCTTCTGATAAAGCATCATTTTCTGGCTCGTTACCACTATCAATGGCACTGTCAGAAAAAACTGTCTGTACATAATTCAGGCAAATTTTCTTTGCTATTGTGATGCTGCCTTTTCTAAATTAAGTGACTTATTAAGAAATGGATCATGAAAAGCACCTGTTGCATGTAATATCTAAGAATACAGAACAGTTGACGAAAAGGCACATACAGCAAAGAGGAAATGTAAGAGTAAAAATACAAACCAAACAGTAACAATTTTGCCTTTTCTGTGAATGGAAAGCAAGAATGTGTAAAATAAGAGTAAAAATACAAACCAAACAGTAACAATTTTGCCTTTTCTGTGAATGGAAAGCAAGAATGTTTAAAATAAAAGATGAGCTGTGAAGTGTCTCATCGAATCTTTTATTTTTAGCAGTCTAGTTTTAGCTAAAATAACTAAGAGAACTGTCTAGAACACCATTTTAAGACTGTCCATTGTTTCAGGCTTAAGACTGGCATAAACTAATGTAAGTGTAGCCTTGAGTATATGTATGATTGGCCAACAATGCTTAGGCAAAGAAACATTAATATACACGTATTGGGTCAACAAGGTATATCTGAGACTTCTGCGTTCTTACACTAAATACTCACAGCTATTATGTTTTAACATACATGCTTTGATTAAGTAGTGAACTTTTTGGGAGAAGTCTCCCCCCCCCTTCTTTTTAGAAAACATCATTCTCATGTTCTTTATGAGCCAAATCCTTATCACATTTTATCCATTAAGGACTTTGTCTTTTAAAAATGTTTAAAAAGTTGTCTGTATGTGCTTTTTAAATTATCGTTACATGCTGTAAATGTGTCATTTTATTTAGCTGTCAAACTTTTAATTATTTGTTTATTTTTGCATATTTTCTGAAAAATTTTAGAAACATGTTTCTTTACATAGAAGACAGACCATTAATTGTACAGTTTGCTGCCAAAAATGGGAATGAATTTGCTGACTCTGCTGAACTAACTTATCAGTGAGAAAAACCTTATTATTTTAATGTATATGATGTAAAATTTTTTGCTTTTAAAAAAAAAATCATGTATATTTTATTCAGAATTCTGTATTTTTAATTGCAGTTATTCTGATGGGGTTGATCTGAACTGTGGTTGTCCTCAAAGGTAAGAAAATTAAATTTTATTCACAGGCGTGTTGAATTTAATGACATCATCACTGAATTTAATTATATGCTCTCTGTGTTTTGAGTAAAAATTTGTTTCATATTTCATAATGCATAGGGCATATAATTAAAATCATTGCCTAAGCATTAAATTTTGACTAATTTTATTGTTACGAGTATAAATATCAGTATGTATAATAATGATGTAAACTCTTTTTATCTTTTTTTCTGGTAATGTAATTTTTCATGATAATAGGTACTGTGGAAATTTTATTTTTATTTCTGGTCCTTTTCCTGTTCATTTGTTTAATGTGTCATTAAATGTAACTCTTTCATATATGTGCTTTTCATATTCATGGTACACTATTTGAAAATTCAGTTAATTCATATGCACTCATTCCTGTGCTTCTGAACCTAAGGCAAACTGCTAGATAGTTAGCTCAAAGTGTTTCCCCCCCCCCCGAAGACTAGAGTTAGATGCCTCTGAAAAGAAAGTATTTAGTGTCCACAAAACGTTACCTCTCTCTGAATAAGCTGCCATATTTATAAAGGCATGCACATGCATCTGCAGATATGAATATTTTTAAAAACTGGTTTTATTTCTAATATGTATATGAGAAGGAAATTATTGCATCGTAAAAATTATAAAACATTTATTTTTCAGGCCTTTTTCTTTAACTGACTTTTGAATTAGATCATCTATATAAAATAGTGGGTGGTTTCATGTTTTAGATATTGTTGTTAAAGTAGTGAAGTGAATGATTTCTGGGCCATTGTAGAATAATTGTAAATTTTCACTTAAGTCATGGAATAACTATCTGCTAGTTCCCTAGCTCAAAAATTTGTAATGTTCGTTATACAGTACAAAGTCCAAAATCCGGATGTCCAATATCCGGAATGATCTAAAATCCGGACCTCACAAACGGCAACCACGTCCCCCCCTCCCCAATGTTTTACACATGCGTATTTGATATTTTCCCCGTATAAATAAAACATGTAGAGAGTCCTGATTCTTAATTTCCCTTCGGCACTAAATAATACCTCGTTATTGAAGAAACAATAATTTAGCATAAATTTGTGTGATCAATAATTTGGCTGCGTAGCTGCATATTTGCTTCACATGCATCTCAAACTGAAACATTCTAGATAGAAACACTGTTGATTTTACATCTTTTAATATTTTATATCCCTGATGGCAACCAGGCGAATCATTTAATTTATTTTACTATCATCAACGCATGCTTATCAACACGTGACAACTTGAGTAATGACTCATGCAGCAATGCCCAGACAATTTTTTTATATTCGTAAGTTAATAACAAATGGTACTTTTTATAGTGCTATTATGCTTGGCGATGATTACGGATTTAAGTTAAATGTGCTAAGAAATATTGGCAAGAAATATAAACTTTTCGTAATCAGAAAAAATACACGACCTCAAGCATTTAAAGGAGTAAAGATTTTCCTGTTATATATCATGCAAATAAAAGAACACGGATAACACAAATGTTAATGTATGTTTGGTTTGAAAATCATTTCATACCCGAGGCTCGGAAGAATTTGGTTGGTTTACCTGGTGACACAAAAATAGTCCTGATTATAGACGACTGTTCAGCTCATATTTCACATATATGCTATTAGGTTATGTAAAATGTTTTAATGAAAGATAATGTATCGATATTATTCTTTCTTCCAAACTGTACATTCATTATTCAGCGTATGGATATTGGAATAGTGCGCCTGCTGAAATGTAAATATAAAGTAGAATTTTTTAAATTCATTTTAAATTTCTTGAATAATGGCAAGACTATTCAAGAATTTGTGAAATAGTTTAGTATAAAATCTGCTGTATGTAGCATCACAAGATCATGGGAGGATGTGTCTCCAGATACTTTAAAAAATGCTTGGCATAATTTATGCCTAGCTAGCATATTTCATGTTGAGGATGATGAACATGATAGCTGCGAATGGGAAGGTTTTTCGGATATCGCAAACCAAAGGTTAAGTTTTCCAATTAATGGATTTTTTAAAGAAGTTTGGAGAAGTGGTAATAAATGAAGATGATGTAACAGAAGTTTTTCATTGTGGTGTCAAGGGCCCAATTATCAATCAATTAACAGACGGCGAAATCTGTAGTATGGTTCTAGATTCAGAAAATACCACTACCGATAGTGAAAGAGACTGAAAGTTTATTAAAAATGAAAAAATGTTTAATTTACAACATTAGTCGAATTCTTGACACAGCAGTTAAAAGGACTTGAAAAATGGAACTTTGTAACTGAATAAGAAATGTCTGTCTGCAGAATTAAAGATAAAATATTAGCATAAAGAAGCAACTTAAAAACCTCCATTGAAAGAAATGTTTAATAAAGTAAACAAATAAGAATTAAGACTTTTTTTTTTGTAAATTTTTATACCCTTTCGATCATAAATGCTTCATTATTTCATAAATCATGGTTTCATATTTTTAATTTTATAATTTCTACAGGCTATCTTACAAGTTTTAAACTGATGATCTAATATCCTGGAAAATCCCAAATCCGGAATTGCCGAAGTCCTAACAAGTCCGGATCTCAGACTTTGTATTGTATAAGATACTGAAATTTATCCATAGAGTCTATTTTCTTAAATAGGATTCGGAATAGCAACTATTCTGTAATGTTTCCATCAATTATCTTTAACACAGTTTTCAGAAGCTGAAACATCCTTTTTATACTCATAAAATACTCATAAATACAAAAAAGTAAATTTTATGCTCATAAATTTTTATACTCATAAAAATTTGTTAAGCTATTCACATAAGTTTCTTTAATTTTTACTATCTAAAATTCCTTTTTAAGTGCTTAAATATAGGTCATCTGTGTAATTTTCATTTTTGAGCTTGTCTTCTGCCTTGTCATCTTCTGACATACAATCTATTATTTGTTTTTTGTAGTTTTGTAGCTCTCCTTTAAATGTTAAAAAATGTGCATGTAATTAAAATGAGATAAAATACTCTAGGGTGACATGCTGAAACTATGTTTAAGTATAATGTTAAAGTAAAAGTAGAAGCTTTTGCAGGTGATCCATTTGCTCCTGTGCTTGTGTTTTATCTCATATTTTTAGCTTCACCTTTGAAGCTTTGATTCCATCTCAAGAATGGCATTGGAATCTTCTTTATTAATATCTCCACAGATAATTGTTAACATGCCAAGAAAAAGAACTTAATGCCAGTTTCCTTATAGATATTTTTTATGTTTACAAAAAGCCCTATCATAGACGCCATGTATTTTAGAAGTGATCAAACACCAATGACTTCTATTAGGTCAGTTACATGTAATGTGGCAAGAAAGTAACTCCTTGTAACAAGAAAACATAACTTTATTTACAACATTGCAGAAAATATTTCTTGTTTACATACCGCTTGCTCGAATGAAAAACACAGTTGCCAATCTGCATTAGCTGAAGTATTGGCATGAAAGGAAGTGTGGGTTATCAATAACCAATAGATAGAGATAGGTTTGTAATAATCGGAAATATCATGCAGAAATCAGCTAACACCACTTATTTTTGGTTGTAATCTTTGCTTCTTGTTTTCCATATCATTATTTGCAATTTGTCATCCACTTTATCCTTCATTTAAGTTACTTGAGTTTACAGCCAGACATACACACATACATGCCAAAAAGGAAAGGGAAAGCAGCTACTTAAAAGTTCCGAATGCACATCGAGTGAGAAACAGGCTAAAACATTGGGAAATAGTGCAGCTTAATTATGATGAACATCTTCTTACTCCTGTATTGTACCTGTATATTGTATTCTTAACACAGATTTACCTCTGAACCCTTGATGTCAAAATATAAATACAGTACAAAGTCCAAAATCCAGACTTGTCAAGACTTTGCCGATTCCAGATTTGGGATTTTTCCAGATATTAGATCATCAGTTTAAATCTGGTAAGATGGCATGTAGAAATTATGATTTATGAAATAATGAAGTATTTATGATCTAAAGGGTATATAAAAAATTAATATTTATTTGTTTACCTTATTAACATTTCTTTCAATGCAAGCTGTTTAAATTGCTTTGTTTTTTGTGCTAATACTTTCTCTTTAATTCTATAGACAAGCATTACTTGTTCAGTTACATTGTTGAAGTCCTGTAACTGCTGTTCCAAGAATTCCAACTAAGTTGTCAATCGAAATTTTCTCGTTTTCAGTAACTTCTTTGTCATTTTCTGCACTATCGGTAGGTGTATTTTCTGGATCTAGAACCATACTGATGGTATGATTGGTGATTAAGAAGCATTGTAATCACATTGACACCCTTCTTTTATATCATCTTCATTTATTACCACTTCTCCACATTTCTTTACAAAATCCGTTAATTTGGAAAATTTCACCTTTGTTTTGTGATATCCGAAAACCTTTAAAGTTTGCAACTATCATCATCAAATTTAGCTAGTCTTCACCATGCATATTTGGCTATGCATCATGAGTTTGGCGACTAATGACAAGTTGTTCTCTTAAATTTTATCTTGCTTCTATCGAGCACCGAGACAATTAAGCCTGAATTGTATTTGATTAGTTATTTATTATACATATGTCTATTTCTTCCACATACTAGGCTTATGAGAGTTCTGAATAATTAAATTCCCATATATACTTATTGAGGGCTGGTGCTAGATATCTTACTGCCTGAGGCAGTCTCTGTTGGTCCTAAATTCTGCGACTCGGTGCGGCCATACGATCCCTGGCGCTGGTTCTGGGTTTATGTGAATAACAAATCAGTTATTCTTAATTTAAATAGCTCTAAATGTAATCTGTTGTCTATGAGTATCATCAACAAAATCTGTTTTTAGCATATGGGAAGAAATTTTTGGTAAATTTTTCCTCGTCAAAATTTTTTAGCGCATTTAACTTAAATCTGTAATCATTGCCAAGCGTAATGTCAACATAAAAGGCAAACATACTCCTTTATTATTCAATTGCTAACATAAAAAAAAATTAGGCATCGCTACACGAATCATTACTCAAGTTGTCATATTTTGAAAAACATGCGGTGATGAAAGGAAAGAATAATAAATAATGATTCACCAGTTTGGTGTCAGATCAATGATGTATCTACGTGGAATGTTTCGGTTTGAGATGTGTGCCAAGCAGATTCACAGCAACAGAGCCAAATTACTGATCGTACAAATTTGTGCTAAAATTATTGTTTCTTCAATAACAAGATATTTTATTTAGTGTCGAAGTGAAATTAAGGAACCTGACTTTCCAGTTGTTTTATTATGCGCGGATGGGGCAGTCAAATGCGCATGCGTAAAACCTACGAGAAAAACGTTTTTGGTGGTTTTGAGGTCCGGATTTTAGACCATTCCCAATAAGGGACATCCAGATTTCGGTCTTTGTACTGTACTATATTTTTCTTAAATAATAGTATTAAAATGAATTTTTTTAAGATTAATTTTTAAAATAGCTAAAGTACTGATATTTTCATCTCATTTCCTTCCCTAGTTACGTTCAGAGAAATCTTTCTATTTGAACAACCTTTTATAGAGACTAAACCATCATTTAATAGTCTGATTGTTTGTATTAAATTTTGCTTTAAATTTAAATGAGTGGTAAATCATGTCACATGAATTATTAATTTTATTTACATAACATAATAGCATATAAAAGTATTTTAATGAATTTGAAGAAGAATGAGCTAGATCACGGGTTCTCAACTGGTGGTGTGCATACCGCTGGTGGTACGCAATAGAAAAATAGGTGGTACACAAAGAAGTAAAGTATTTTTAACTATTAAATTCAAAAATTAAAATCCCAACATCCTGATTGACTTTTCTCTCTAGCACTCGTAAATTTATGCAATCTGAGCTTTGTTCAAGAGTAGTGGTGATAGTAGTACTTTGTAGTTGTGGTACTAAAGATTTTCAGTTTTTGTTTAGATGGTATGCATCTGTCGAAAGGTTGAGAACAGCTGAGCTAGATTGTAGTTTAGTGTCCCCTATTTTTTAAAACTATTATGATTCTAATATTGTGGTTATTGGCAGCAATCAGCAAATAAATGATTCATCTTTTTTCCTGTGTCCACTCTTCTATTAATGAGCCTCTGCTCTGCTTCTAGTATTCTCCATATCCTCATCAATGGTATGCTGATTGCATGATTTTTTTAATATTTGTTGCAAAGAGGGGCAATTCTGTTTCAGCTGTACTATGAAACAATGCATTACATTGCATAGTTCAAAAAGTGTGTATCTTGATTTCACATCCATCCTTTTCAGATTAGGTGAAAATGTCCCTTACTTTAATAAGAGAGAGTATACTGCAGCGTACAGTACATTTTGCATATTATTATATTTTATTAAGTAGTGTAATATGCAATGTATTTATTAAGTAGTGTAATATGTAATGCATTGTGTTATACAGTGTAATTTATTGTTACATATTTAATATTGGTAGCATCTTCCAATGCATAATTTATCAGCTATCTTGCAATGCATAATCTATCAGTTAAACTTATTTGTTTTAATTTATGCTGTTCAGGTATCTTTTGTGTAGCATTTGCTATAATCTACCGTTTTATATATCTGCAGTGAGTCCTGGAACATAACATGCACAAATAGTGGGAGACTATTCTGTAGATCTAACTCTTGGTCATAATGTATTCTGCCATATATTGCCTTTAGATGGTGCATATTATGTAAAGTATTTTAGTTAGTTATATACTTTTTCTTCTCCAAGGTGGGCCCTTTCAAGTGGATATGGGGCATGTTTATTAGAGAAGCCGGAGGTAGTTCACTCTATGATTCAGCAAGTTAGAAACCGAATTTCAGATCCTGATTATACAGTATCATTAAAAATTCGCATGCATGAGAATATCAGGTATTAAATTTGAATTATATATTTAGGTTGTTCATAAAAGGTATGTTGTGTGATTTTATGTTGTATTCATTAGAAAATAGTAGATAATAAGATAACTTCTTTATAAGAACACAAGAGGAATTTTTCTCTGTGTATTTAATATGCACTAGTGTACATGCCTTTGATTACTTGAGTTATGTCTGCTTACATCTACTTTGGTTACTTGGGAACTGTGCAGAAAATTTTGGTTTATGAGAAGAGAAGAGGAACTTTTTCTCTGTGTATTTAATATGTACTAGTGTACATGCCTTTGATTACTTAAGGAACATCTACTTACATCTACTTTGATTACTTGGAGAACTGTGCAGAAAATTTTGCTGATCTGAATTTCCTTGCTGATCTGAAAATATCATATAGTATGCCATGTTGTCGAGTTGCAATATTAAACTGAATTTTCTGAAAATGTTAATTTAAACAATTACAAAATTCATAGATCATAAGTATCTAGAATATCCTTCATTACACATATAGTAGAAATTTATATTGTGAAAAGCAGTATTTCCTTGTTAAAACAGCCACCACACTTAGTCACAGAAGCTGACAAATTTAATCGCTTATTCTGTAACCTGAAAATTTCAGATTTTGCCAAAAGCTAATGAAATGGCTCTTTAACAAGAAAGTACCCCAAAAGCATAATATGCAAATTGCTTTCTCCTGCAGTAACACCATTCACATTTTTAGGGGCTAATATACAGAGTTAGACCAAATGAAAATGGCTGGATTTTAAATATTTTTATTTTCGAAACTGTTACACATATTAAAATAAGTGATACACAGAATTAAAGGAAACTATGCCGAGTAGTTTTATTTATTTTTTTTTTTTTTAGTTATAAAAGTTTGATGTATCACTCTTCCGTTACATGGCAAACTCAGGTTCGTTCCACATTTGTAGTATCACATTGTCAATGGCTCCTAATGCTGCCCAAATGTGTTGATTTTTTCCATGTTTTCAGCATAGGTGGTTCGTAAACAGAATTTTTGATGTAACCCCATGAAAAGAAATTACATGGCATGAGGTTCAGGATCTTGGTCCCCATGTAATTAACGGCAAATCACTATCACTCATATGCTCAATCCATCGGTGTGGAAGCTTCTCGTTTAAGTATGCATGTACATGCAAAGACCAATGAGCTGGGCTCCATCCTGTTGAAATGCAAAACTTTTGTTTCCTTCATGCAGTTGTGAAAATAACCAAATTTGCAATGTGTCCAGATAATTGTTAACTGTTACCATTTTTCAACAAAGAAAAAAAGACCATACAATTTTGTTTGTGACAACACAAAAAAATAATGATTTTGGGTGAGTCTCTTTACAACTGCACAATGTCATGGCAAGTTTCATTTCTCCACGTTATAACATTATGACGATTGACATTTCCTGATAAATGAAGGTTGCTTCATCTGAGAAAATCAGCTTCTTTGCCAAATCTTAATTTCCTAGTTTCTCTTGCATATGAACACAAATGTCAAATCAACAATTTTTATCATCCACTGATAAATGTTGCACCATTTGTAGGTGATATGGCTTCAAATTTATTTATTTTATTTTATTTGTAAAATTTTCCATTATATATATTCAGGGGAATTTCAAGTTAACTGGTGCCAGCTATTGAAGTCTTGTGTGGGCTTTGAACAAAACTATGCCTCAACCTCTCCACTGCTTCTACCTTTAAACTGTGTAATCCACCGCAGAATGTTCTAATGACTTAGTGCTTCCTTTCCATGTTGATTCCCAAATGGATGCTGTACATAAATAGCTGGGGGGTGGAATACTTGCATATTCTAATACATAAAAACTTTTCCCTATCATAGTCACCATTTTGGGATTTCAATCACAGCATTCTCTGGATGTGCTGCCACCTATTGATCAGTGGTGGAAAAAATATTTTTTCCTTAATTTCATGTATCACTTATTGTAATGTGTGTAATAGTTTGAAAAATAAATATTTAAAATCCCATTGTTCATTTGAGCTAAGCCTGTGTTATAGGTGGGATTACTCCTAAATTATTCTGAATCCAAATTTTTAAAAGTCCCCAAAGGTTTTCAAATCTTTTGAATCTTGAATTCCTATAATCTGCCATACAGGAACAATAATAAAAGGTGAAAGCTGAGGAAATATTTTTTGCTTAATATTGAAAGTTTTTAATTAAATATGATTCTCATGCACCAGGAAAATCAGGGCCTATTTTCCTAGAAAGATCAGAAAAAATCAAAATCATTTAAAAAAAGTTTTTGTTTTCCCTGACATTTTTTGGAAAAGTTTATCTTCTTAAATAATAAAAAGCCCTTGCTTTGAATAACACAAAATTAACAAAAGTTGCCCCTTTAAAAGAAAACTGATGAGGAGGTCATATAATCGCTGTTTTCTTGCAAAAATTATTTTACCCACCTCATACAGTTTTAGCAAAGTAGAAAGTTTTGTTTCCACATGTTAGTGAGCTGGTCTTAGAAGTGTAAATATTTTATTAACCTTCTGTTTATAAGGGTAATTGCTGTTCAAAAATGAGTAAAAGAGGAGTGATTGCACTGTGTAGATATACATTTTAATTTAATTAAACACCTTTTTCCAGTTCAATTTTAGTCTAAGCTTCCCAAGTTTATTTAAAATACCAAATGAGTAATAACTGCTATGGATGATGTAATAGTATAAGTTTTTGATACTTTCTATTTACCACAGCCCCACCGAAAAGTATCCATGAGGCAAAGCTGTGTGTCTCCAAATATTTATGTAGTAAACCCTGATGCCATAAAAGTATTTATATGGCAACCCAAGTATGTGCATGGCATATGTCCATTTGGGCCAATGCTTAGTGCTGGCGTGTGATGTTGAGTTTGTACAGTTCTATGATTTTTTTTTAAAGCACAAACAGATAGCTTTGTGTATGGGAAAAACAACAGTGCAAAAAAGGCTTTGTCAAAATAAGTAACTGTTTTATTGCTGATATTTCTTGGTTTAGCAATTTTATTTATTGGCTGCTCTTGTGTGGAATTCTTAGTTCACTGCCATTTTGGAAATGGCTGTTGTAGACAGTAGCTTGGTAAAAATTTAGTCACCAGTGAGCTCATGAATTCAAAGTCAACAATGAATTGTGACTTTTTTGGTGGGAGTGAATAATCGGAAAGTGAAAAAATTTCGGGTGGAATGAGCAGTTTTTTGCCACTGTGTTGTTATTGGATTTCATGTTATGTGATTCTCTGACTCTTTATCCAAAATAGGAACACAGTTTTTTGCCAAATTTTAGTATTTTTTTTAAAACCGTATTTGCTTTTTTGAATGTTTGAGATTTTATTTTTTATATATGTTTGTTTTGTTAGCTTCACAATTATAAGTAAGATAAATTTTTAGTCTCCTTAATTTTTAAATTGTTTTTTTTTTTTTTTTTTTTTTTTTTTTTTTTCAATTATTCCAAAAGTTTTGTGGGTTTTCAAATTGAAATGTGTTTCCTTCTAATTATTTTGTTATTCCTGGGACAGAGTGTCCTTAATTGAAGCATATATTTCAATGCATTTTTCTGCTCACATTGCATGATTCTAGCCTATATTGTGCCATAAATTTTGTTTTAGTACAGTGCTAAGAATCAGAACCCAGAAGTCCATTTTCATCATATTATGCTTTTTTATTTTAAAAAAAGAAACAAATTGTTCATCAGATTGCTGCCAAAATTTGTGCTATCTATAGAAAGGCACTGTTACTGATGACAAAGTTTGAAGTTTGATTTGAGAAGTTTGTGCATGGAAATTTTAGCCTTGAAAATGATGTTTCCTCTTGATGACCATCCTTTATAAAGAAAAAAAGGACCTATTAGAGGAAGCTTGTGCTGAAAATCTAAGTTTTTCAGTTCAGGGGTATCAGTATGACACCAAATATTCCAAAAGTGCAGTACATGATCATTTAAGGAAAAGGGGGTATTTAACCCTCTGGAGGTTTTGAAAGAGATAAGGTATTGTTTTGTAAAGCGTCAGCAGCTTTGTCAAGAAATTGCGTCAAAAAGTGGGAAGGTTTCTGTCAATGTATCCACCGAAAGCGTTAAGCAGTTTTTTTACCCCCCTACACCTGCGGAGAATCATCTAGATGAACTAATTAGTGATGACTGTAAAAGTATCAATCACTGTCAAAACTTTTCCCTTCTGGAGTTTTCAAGAAGAAGAATGCTTCGATAGTGATCTGACCTTGTAACAGTAACTGTTTGCTTTATGCTATGGAATTTGTTATCAAATGAAAATTTTGAGGGAAACTGAAAAATCAAGTCTTTAAAAGAAAAATAAATATATGTTTAATTTTTTTTCCATTCATAAACCTCCATTTTTATGCATGTATACATGTGTGTGTGCATGTTTATATATATATTTAAATTTTATGGAAATCAATGTGCATATGTCAATAATATCAAAATATTTTTGTGTTTCTAATACCCTTCACTTTAGTTATTGAATTTACCTCTTATATACGATTGCTTGCTAGGATAAAAGGAATATTTTTTCACTAAAACAATATGATTTGCGATAGTTCCCAAGATAGTTTATTTTTTTCAATAAAATATCTTTTTAACTTAGAAAATTTCTTATTTTATTTGCAACTTCAGGTATTTTTGATCCAGAGTTTATTTGACGTGACGGATATAAATAATATTTCAAAATTTACTTGATATAATGACAGAACTAATTAACTAAACATGAAGTAAAAAACTTGTCTATTTACTAATCATAATTACAGACGTCTAAGTTTTTGTCATGCAATTTTCCACCTTTGTGTATAGCCATGAGTAAGGAAAGCCGCGAGTTTATTAATTGTGCCATAATGATATTGTTTTCTTTAAAATCTAAGAAAATATCAGTATATTTTACTATTCCACTACTTATTGGGGGGGGCTAAGAGCAAATAAACAGGTGCTCTTAGAAATTCCTGCATTGAAAAATTAATGAAAAAAGACATCGGGTTTTGACATATTGATAGAAAATAT